TAGAGGTGAGGAGAAGAGAATTTGAAGTCCTTAATAAGCTGAATCATGAGAACATCGTCAAGTTATTTGCGACCGAAACGGAGGTAAGTTTCCATCTCTTTCCGCTACAGATGAACCTTTTCATGCATTGTTATTATTTTAAAAGTGCTCGAGGGTCTTGAAGATATGGCGATGAAAACAGTTTCCATCCGATAGTCGCTGTTTTGTTCGTTTCGGTATTCTTATGAGATGCGCAGTTTTCGATCTGTTATGTTTATATTGCAAAAATCTATTTGGTGAAGTCGAAAGTACATACGCAGGCTGAAGGAATATTGAATTTGATATTCAAAATAATAACTTTGCAACTCAGTTTAAAGACTAATATTCAAAATTATTTATGCATGATCGATCAACTTCAACATTTTCCCTACGGCATGTATCTTTAAATTCCATGTTTGGAATCAGAGACAGCATTACCCGAAAATCCCCTTTTACAGTCATAAACCTCGCAGCGAAATCCGATCGATCATATTTCCTTTCGTTGTTTATGCGAATGCGTCAGAGCTTAACTCTGGGGATTCCCCTTGACTCATCACCAGCCAATGAAGTTTGCAGATGTAACATGTTTTTCCGAGAAAACATCAAGTGTCTGTTTCCATTAGGGGTCTCGAAGACTTAATTCCCAGACAGAAATTCAAAGAACTTTCTTCCTCAAATGTTTGCAGCAATTCTAAAGATGAACATTTTCCATGTTTTGGCTATCTTGGGAATCTAAGGAACTGGCTAAATATAAACTGCAACAAGGAAGACACGAATATGCATAGCCTAAAGCTTCTAAGGTCATGAACAATTTGACACAGCTTATTTCACCAAGCTTTTACTTGCCAGCTTTGTCTATTGCTCCCTGAATTGCTGAAATTCCTAGGAAGATTTGTTAGACCTTGCCCAAAAGATGAAAAGATTAGTGAGAGTAATTTAGTTGAAAGTCCTGCGTTTATATTCAGATCCTAGACAACTTGAATATGCCTGTGAAGATATCATTTTGTGAAGTTATCAAATAACATCGCCAGACTGTTTAACATTCTGGTTTTAATAGAACTGTTCTGTCACAGTTGAATCGTTTCCATTGTCATTCTTGTCTAAAATATCATTTAATCGATTCAAATTTGCACGTTTGTTACTTGTGGAATAGATTCATATATCATTATTGGCCATCATTGGTCGACTTTTATCTGCTACTCTGTCTTAGTTAACTTGTTCACTTTTACAACTGCCCTTGATGAACTAAAAATAGTCATAAGATTGTGATGCAAAATTGTAGTAGGGATCTAGATAACAATTGATTACTATTGTCTAGATTCAGATTAAAAACTGTTCATAATTAGAATATTGGCCTAATTTATACAACAGATGAAGACAGATGGATAATTTGTCAGGCTGAGAAGGATAATAATTCTAAATTTGGTGTAACTTTTAAGACAAATGGGGCCAAATCTTTTGGCTCAAAATTGATCCAATACCAACTTCAATATCATCTTGACAAAGCGCCTGTCTCAGACAGATTAATCATCTCAGAGGGATACTGAATTATCTCCCAAATACACAGTTGGCATCTTTTGTCATCTTTGGTCTCATCTGGGCCATTTTTCTCAGCATTCCATTATTCTAAGGAAATGTTGTAAAACATTTCTTATTAGGGATTGGTTGTTTAGTCATTTTATTTTATAATTCAATTTTGTCGGCTCGAAAAGGAAATCGAAAATTTCTGCTTCCTGGTTACGTATCCTGATACAAGGAGGAAGGAAGTACACATGGGAGAATTCTAAAGGGCTTCCTGTAAAAAAAATAAGCTTCCCTTTGTTTAACCTGTATCAAGTTTGCATTCAACATAAGATGCAGCTTGGTTTTGATCTGTTAATTTGAATGGCAGGGGTTGAAAGAATTTTAAAATTGTCTCAAATGTATTATTAAATTTAGAAAAAGTAAATATATAAAAACTATGTTAAATATAAATATTATTTAGGGGTCTAGCTAATTACAACACCAAGCTTTAACAAGCTTATCCAGCCTTTCAGGCCAATGTAGCTTGAAAATTTCTGAAGTCATTTTGTATTTCATTCAGTCAAGTCTGGCAGTGCTCATCCTCCCTCCCTCCTTGGGCATTAGGCAGCAGTTGCTCACACCTTAATCCCAGGGATGGGATATTTGATATGTTATTACTACCTGGGACCAGGAATTTGCCTTCCCCTGGAACAAGCCCGATCAGAACTCGGCACCTTGTAAATGCAAATACAGTCAAACCTCCCGTAAGCGACCACCCAAAATGTCAAACCTAG